GCATCCCTATTTCCTATAGGATGTTGCGCATGCGCGACTGAACGAATCACTCCGCGAGACGACTCGTTCTTCCCGAGTCACATTAAAGATTCGTTCAAGAAAGACCCAACACTAGAACTCACGTGCGCACTACAACTCAGGATCAGAAACTAGAAAAGTAGGCATTATTCTGAAAGAGTAGTGTGCTGCTTTGTCACATGACCTCATCATGTTGCACGCAAGAGGCATCCAGTTCTTAGAAAAGACTGTTTGCATGTTTTAGCGCAATTTAAAATGTTGGCAATCAAATAATGAGTCGAGTAAGACTGTCCAGTTCATTCGTCACAGGTCGAGTCAGAGGCATTGCATTGTGGGATACAGTACACCGCAGAGATAGTAGGAATAATATGACATAGCCAGACACACAAACACGCTTTTTTCCTGTGTTTATGTGCATTTTCATCTATAGTCTCGTTTAATAATCCCATTCACCAAAAAACTGTGCACTCATTGATATTTAAACTGATAGCTATATAAATATTTGTTTTAGAAATGCAAAATAACTGCATATGATGACTTTGTGTAAGGTAAAATGATTCGAGGGATGCTGTAGTTTTGTACTCCAATGTTCTGTGTGTCAAACCCAATAATTTACAGTATGCCTTATCTTTACACGACTCTTCTAATTCTGAGTTAGTGATATTCACCAAAATAAGGACCCAGTGACTGGCTGAACAGTCTTTTGAATACTGTGCTTTTTTCCCTCTGTAATACAAACCTTTTGTGTCAATAAACGAGGGTGAATTTAATAAACTGGCTTGTTTAGTTTTATTATTTTTGTTGTCTTAAAAGAAACTGATAAACAGATTGTGCTCTCTAAAGGAAGGATGTACGTGATGTGTTATTCGTCATTCTGATTCGCGGGGTATGCTGAGGCCTCCGCGGAAGCTCCGCCCACTGCCCCTCCCCCCATTGTGACGCGTCACTGACAGCTGCGCAGCGCAGCCGCCATTTTCTTCCCCTCCGCGGATCCGAGTAGAAGCGTTGAACCGAGCTCTCGTGCCGAACCGAGCTCTCAAACCCGCTGCACTCTGACCGGGCTTTAGATAGCGATGCCGGCCCATCCGCTGCGTGTCGCGGTCGTGTGCTCCAGCAACCAGAACCGCAGCATGGAAGCGCACAACATCCTGAGGTAACGACGAGAAAGAACGAGCCGAAACCGAGCCGAACTCGAGCCCGACACCGCCGCGCGGGCTGTCCGCCGCCTCGCCGTTGTTTTTCCTTCGTTCCGCATCCGCAGCGTTCGATCGGTGTCCAGATGGTCCAAACGCGGATCGGAATCGAACCGGGACAGTCAGATCACGAGAACCGAACCGAGCCGGAGTCATTTAGAGAAAACGATTTTATGCTTTTTTTACGGAAAAAAACAAACAAACACTGAAGCTGATGGAGATCGCCTAAAAGCTTGAGCTGAAAAATAGAGAAAGTTCTGGAATAAAATAGTCAGGCTCAGACTTAGATTTAATTTTATAATACAGAGGTAATGATGGTTATAGAAACGTACTGCAGTACCACGGTACTGAATCATTAGCATATTAGTTTACTATGGTATTCACATGGTACTTCATATAATACTAGTACATACCAAAATTATGGAACCTCTTTGTAAGCCAAATAAAATGAGTAGAAGTGATATAGTAAAAAATGTAGACTTTAGTCAGGGAAGCGCCATATTACATTTTTGACCGGGATGAAAACGAGGCTGTGAGGGACTGAAGTACGTGCGTTCAGTGGACTGGACTGATGAAACATCTTTATAAAGTCGTGAGATGATAATTACGCAATCACAGCCCTGACATACATCACAGAGACGTCTGTAAGACGTGTTGTTTAGAGTGTTTGCTCATCTGCTATACGTCTACAGGACGCTTCCTATCAGATGTCTTTCAGATGTTTATGATGTAAAACTGACTTCTTAGAGACGTCTATCAGATGTTTGTACACAGCAGATGACACGATCTTTTTAAACGGCACGTTTGTCCCTCACAGCCTCGTTTTCATCCGTTCGTTACCGACTAAGGTCTGCGTATCTAGGTCAGGTAAGTCGCCGCAGGTCGAGAGGGATTTCTCTTCACGTCTGTTCTGTCCTCATGTGTTTGCCGTTCTGATGTCTTGTGGATTCTCACCGTCTCTCTGTTATTCCCACAGCAAGCGAGGGTTTGATGTGCGTTCCTTCGGCACGGGAACCCACGTGAAACTCCCAGGACCCGCTCCGGACAAACCCAACATTTACGACTTCAAAACCACTTACGAGCAGATGTACAACGACCTGGTCCGTAAAGACAAGGAGCTGTATCCCTAGCATACACGCAGAAATACACCGGCTAGAGCCCCAGAATCAAATGAGGCCCCTGATTAATGAACACTGAGCAAACGCAGAAGCTCTCTGAGAAAGGAAGGTTCTTTATTGGCATCGATGGTTCCATGAAGAACCTTGAACATCCACAGAAAATCTTTTGTACGAAAGGTTCTTTAGATTTTGAAAAGAATGGTAATTGGTTACTTTAAGAATGCTTCATCGAAAGGTTCTTTGAGGAACCCAAAATGGTTGTTTTACGGCCAAACCATTTTTGAAACCTTTATTTTTAAGTGTGGTAGGAACCGCAACATAACGCATGGTTTAAATCGCAGGGGGTTCAACATGAGCCTCGCTGTTTTAGTGAAGATTATGGTTGCAAAACGGTGGAAAATTTCCAGTAAATTTTGGAAATATTCCAGGGATTTTTGGAAAGTAAATGAATTTTCCACCCCTTTGCAACCCTACTGAAGATACGCAACTGCAGCGACCCGTCTTTTCTCTTCTGAACTCTATGGAGTGTGTTCCTCACATTAAAGGGATAGTTCACCCAAATATGATGGTTCTGACATTATCTACTCTCCTCGTGTCGTTCCAAACCTGTGTTCGTTCTCCTGTGGAACACGACGGAAGATACTTCCCGGTGACCTTCAGAATATCTGCTGTTGTGTTTCACCGGCGAAAGAAAGCCAGGTTTGGAACGAGTAAATAACGACAGATTTATAAGTCACCTGATGACACTGATCTGCTGCATTTATTGTGCAAGAAGAAAAAAGCCTAAATTCATTGGCAAAGAGACAAGCATGGGCAGTGTGTGCGGAGGTTTATTATGCGGTTGTCCAGACTCTGATTCATTGAGTTCACAGATTGATTCCTCTAATGCGTCACACACGACTCATTCATCAGACCTGCGGGATTCCCATTAGCCACAGCATTTAACCCATTCATGTGACGTCAGGTGTGGGTAAACTCATTCATACATCGCCCGTTCGACCAGATCAAACCATAAGCATTTGTATAAAGTAGGCTTTCGATGGCAAACCCGTCACCTGTAGGAAGCATGGCACGAAGGGTTTAGCTTTAGTGTGTCAGAAGAGGTTCAGTTTCTCTCAGCTCTCCAGAGGATCAGATGCAGAATAAGTGAGGACCCTTGTGGTTTATTTTAAGGCGTTTTTAAGTCAAGCATCACTAGTGCTAGTGCTCATTTTAGAGTACTGATGATTGAATCCGTTAGCATTAGCGCTTGTGCTCCGGACATGATTCCTCGGATCACGCGTCTCACAGATTGTGTTTTGTACAGGTGTGTTTAGTCGTATTGGCTTATTTTGACCAGGAGAGTCATATCTTTTTCTTGAGAATGCTAGGTAATGTTCTCACGTCGCACTAGAACTGACTGGCTTTGCTCACTCCGGGTATAAAAACCTCTCAAAAGAGTTGTCGCACTTTCTTGGGGATTTCTTTCCCACTTTGTTACTCCTGTGTTCTCCTTCAAAAATGATCGGCGTACGTAATTATGCTGTATCATCACCAAATCTTTGATTCAATCAGATTAGTTAGCACAAGTTTTATGGGGTTTGTTGGAGCTGATTGATCATAGGCCTTGAGTGAAAAGTATTATTTGTGGATAATTTTGTCGATATTCAGACCGAAACCGAGGTTTGAGCTCCGATCAGTGAGGCCTACGATCAGTCCGCTCTAAAAAGAAACACAAAACCTGTGCTGATTGAAAGAAAACAAGCTGACGGAAAGATTGAAGATCTGGTGATAATACAGCATGATGAAAGATTAACGAGCGGTTTTTAAAAGGCCACTCTTTTTGATCAGGAACGGCAATTACATACACTTACATTCAAGATATCCAGTCGATGAAAACCAGTCCTAACGTCTGACGCGGTGTTGCTTCTCAAGTACATTTGTCTTGTTTTAAAGATTTTTTAGATATTTCTAACAAGACAAAAACCTTTTGCTTTTAGTGAAAAAAATAGATTTTCATGTTAACTTTGTTAAATTTAATAAACCATACTTGCAAAAAGAAGCATAAAACCGTGGATTTGCAGTGATATGACAGGAAGGCAATGAAAAATCAACACTCGTGTTCAAATCTGAAGCTTTTGATGGATAAAATCCCTCCTAAACAACCGTACCGCGTCTGATTTACAGGAGGCTTTAGAGCAGCAGTGCAAAGAAAATCAGAAACTGTTTTTTGTTAGTTAGATGTTCGCTGGTTTATTTATACTGCTGATGATGAATGATGATGAATGTTTACATATTGCCCAGACTCCTCAGTGTTTAATTCACTGAATTAATTCAGTTGATCCTAGTGAGTATAGTTAGTAATGTTAGGACATCAGAAGTGACTTCCAGAGGCTGACCAATAGATGGCGCTAGTGTGCGTGTTTCCAGTGTTTTAACCCTTTGTAGACACACAGTTTGATGTGTTCTGGAGTGTTTGGGCCTTTGGTCTGTTTTGTCTTCCTTGACCGCTCTGCTCAGATACACACAGAACGGGATCTTGCACATGTTAGACCGCAACAAGCGCATTAAGACGCGGCCCGAGCGCTTCCAGAGCTAGTAACCCGTGTGTATCTTTCAGACCTGAACTCTCGCGAGCAGGAGACCTTTCAGCCCGTGCACGTCATCAACGTGGACATCCAGGACAACCACGAGGAGGCCACGCTGGGGGCCTTCCTCATCTGCGAGCTCTGCCAGTGTGTGAGTACAGACCCCAACACCTGGAGTTACTCATACCAGTTTAATAAAATCATTCTGGACGAATTCATTGTGCTCATGTTTCATGCATTTCCCCCCCAACAGTTTACAGTTGTTTAATGCAGGCTCATAAAACCAGATTGTTGCACTGATTGCGCAAGTTCCTCTAAGAATGGTTCGATGATTTTACATGAAATCAGGGTTATTATAGTTAACTACACTTCAAAAAAAATATATAAAACCATAAAAAATTGTTACTTTAAATAATATAAACCTAACCTTAAATGAAATAAAATTGGTTTATATTTTGGTTATATATATAGTTTTTAACTTCTTTTATATCAGCTAGTTGCCAAAGAAACATTTCTCATTTTCAAAAACAAAAAACTATACCAACACATAAATATATATATATATAGTATTATAAACAAATATATAAAAATTACAAAATTACATAAGGTTTACATAATATTGTAATTTTAATGTTTTTTTTGTTTGTTTTTTTAAAATATGCTTAGTTTTTAATTTAAAAATTTCAATCTTTTGATTTTATTTATAATTAATTAAAATTAAAAAAAAATTTCTACAATTTTCAGTGTTTCATATCTTAAAAATAAAAAAATAAAACAAAATATTGAAAAAAAAAAAAACATACTATATCAGTGATACTAAAATAACATAAATGATAAAATAAACGTGCGGAACTTGTCGTTAAAACCGTTCTGATGCTACTTTACACAAAAATGGTTTTATCAACAATTTACACATTTTATGTTTGTTTGTCACACCGTTCTTACGTAATTTTTATAGCACAAAATGTATGTAAGAATGCTTTTATGAGTAATAAAAGAGCCCCACTCCAATAACTATTCTTAGATATTCACATTGAATGTATTACTTTACATAAAGGTTTTAGAACATTTTACATCCGTGTGTTTCCTGAGCATTAATGAATCCCTTCTTGTGTAAATGATCATCTTACATAAAAGTGGCATTTAGCATCAGACGTGTTTTTGACGAGTGCTTCGCTGTGTCTCAGATTCAGCACACGGACGACATGGAGAACGAGATGGACGAGCTGCTGCAGGAGTTCGAGGAGAAGAGCCACCGGCCGTTCCTGCACACCGTCTGCTTCTACTGACCGCCGTTGCCATGGCAGCAGCGCACCGACGCGACGCGAGCTGCTCGGGACTGTAACCCTGCCGCGACGCGAGTCCTGAGGTTCTGGTTTTGATGAGCTTTCGAATGCTGATTCCTGCTGTAACTGCAACTGAGGAACATTCAGAGAGACGAAACGGTTCTAGAGTACAACGCCAGAGCCTGGTTTGAGCGTTTAGGACCCGCGGCGAAGCGCTACAGGGTTCTGCTGCAGCTGGACGCGGACTTTATCTGATCACGTGCTTCAAAAGGGGGGTTATTTCGATGATGCAATGTTTCATGACTCTTGGTTTTCTCATGAATTTATTTGGGATTTGATACCCGTTGGGCATATTTTGTGTTGTTTTGTTTTTCTTTAATTTTGTAAATGAAAATAGGATTCTGTAACTGTACATGAAGCAGCCCGGAGTGCCTGAGATTATTCTTGTGTATATATTGCGCTATAAATAAATGAATAAAGCGTTGATGAATCTCAGGGGATGCGTTTTTCCTTATTAAACGACACGGTGGTGTCAAATTTACTCTAAAGATCCCCTTACGAATATTAACCATGGTTTTACTCCAAATAAATAAATAAAAAACATGCACTTAAACCATGGTAACCACAAATTAACCATGGTATTTGTAGTGAAACTGGTTATATCAATACACCAAAAAAAAAAAACATGGTTACTATACTTTTACTGTAGTAGTAAAACCATGGTTAATTTTCGTAAGGGGAATATATGATAAATACCCGTTCAAACGAGAACGGTAATGTTTGGATAATCTTAATAGCGAGCTGTTACCATAACAATGACATTGTTGGAATATTCAGGACGATTTTTCCAAGTGATGAACGATAAATCACTGACAGCCAATCAGAATCCATCCTGCTTTAAAGCGCGCGAACATTAATGCGGAACGTTATCGTGCGTTGGTGTGAACACTCATTACAGTTATCTCTATAATAATGTAAACGGCACTTTAAACCAATAGCGGCGTCCAGTATTATAGCGAAATGTCGTTGGAAACAGAACGATTTTGTTTCCAGCTGATGAACGTTTATTTTACGAATACCTTTATTTGACCCTCTAACTCTAACACTTTATATTCTATTATAATTCTACTTTATATTTATCTTTTTCATTTTTTTGTTCTTTATTAAAAAAAAAAAAAACTACAACAAAAAACAAACACTAGTTTTCTATTTTTTCTATTCTACCTACTTGTTTTTCTTTGTTTGTGTGTGTGTGTATATGTGTGTGTGTGTGTATAATATGTATGTATGTATATATATATACACACCTTGCTACGTGTACTGTGTTAGGCTAACCGAGACTTGTCATTTGCACTTACATATTGTTGCTCTTTTGTTAGTTTTGACTGCTTCTATTGTCCTCATTTGTAAGTCGCTTTGGATAAAAGCGTCTGCTAAATGACTAAATGTAAATGTAATGTAAATGAACGATAGAAATGCTGGCAACCAATCAGAATCCACCCAAATTAAAGCGACACGACCAAAAAAAAACTGCCGCGCGCTTAGAATAACCGCTATTTAGTTATAATTATCGTTTTTGGTGTGAACGAGTCTGAACTGTCCAAAAACCGTTGTAGCACAATGTTACATTAAAAAACGAAAAGAAAAGGCAAACGCGCGCCAGCCGCGATGTAGGCTAAAGCATGGTGTTACCGTGGTAACGTTACTTCTGTAGGTGTGCCGCGTGCGTCTGATATTCCAGATGAGCGTGACGCAGCAGCTCCTCATTAAGCTAATGCACTGATCTGAGATCTGATACAGTCAACCTCCAGCAGCGCGTCAGATCACTTACAGATCCGATCTGGACGCGGAAACAAACACCTGCTGAAAGCGAGCGAGGCGTTCGACGCACAGACGTGATGTAGAAACGCGCCGCGGAGGAACATCGAGCCGCAGGTGAGACATCTGATGCTCCGCCGATGATGAAGATGATGAAGGGTTGCGCTGATCTGCGGACTGTGGCGAAGACGCGGCTGTAATGATGGCGGTGTGTGTGGCTCGCGGACTGTGAGGAAGATGATGTTTGTGGTGTCTGGAGCGGTTCTGGTGCTGGTAAGAAGATCTGTGTGAGCATCTGCTGAGGAATTACGTAGCTCTCACACTGACCGCAGCTCAACTTTATTGATAATTGTGTGGTTTTCTGTGGACCAGCATATGTTGAAATGCAGTTTTAAACGCTGATCGCTGGGAAATGGCAGTAGTTTTGGTGTTTTCCAGGCCATCGTGTGTATGTCCGACATGAATGCGCTGCTGGACCGATTTCACAACTTCATCCTGCCGCGCATGCGCGGACCGGAGCGCGTGTGTCACTGCACCTGCGGCAGGTAAGGCGCGCTTTTATTCCTATTGGCTCATCCTGAAAAACACGACCGGAAATAGGCTACAATGTATCATTTAAATTCCGAATGCTATATAGCGATAAATTCGCTATTTCCTGTAACCGCACAGATGTTAACTAGTTAAGGAAAGAACCACACACAACTTATTTGCGACGCGATTATCGGTGTATGTGCGAGACTTCCGCTTCATTAGCCGCTATTCGTAAACATTACATTATTCGTAAATAAGTAGAAGAATAACAAAGTGCAGTAACAATCCAATGTGTTTATAATAAAATAATATGATAATATACTGTAGCCTATACTAGTTTGCGATTATCAAGCAGCGGTTGTTTTGTTTTTGTACCGCGGAAATAACTGGAAACGAATGCAAAATAATAATACAAAAATTAATTAAAATTCTGTCCACAATATATGTAAAATATAGGCCTATGCTAAATATATTTTTTTATATTCCGCCTTCATATACGAAAATATTTCAAAATGTATTATAAAATATTATTAAATATATTCATAATACAGCCTAGATTTAGATGTGTGATGCGCTATAGACAAAACATAATATATTAAAATAAATATTTCCAAATGTGACACGTGAATGTAATTTCTTATATATGGACGGCAAAATCTATTTTTAGATGCTTTTTAAAAATATATATTTCTATTTTAAATTATGTTTTTAAAGATTTACATAATATGTATTGATAGAAAATATATTTACCTAAATATATATTTTAGCAAATGTGTTTTTTTGTATGTTTTTGAGGGTTAAATATATGTTTAAATTTGTATACAATTTATTTTATATAAAAAATATTTTATATTTACAGTTGTATATATATTTTATATTTAAAATTATATATAAATTATATATTTAAATGTTTTTAAATTATTATTCTTGCATTAAAAATAAGGCGTGTAGGGCTTTTTTTGTTTGTTTTTGTGAAAAGAGTGACTCCCACACAGCCGCGAGTCTTTCTCCGGAGGAAAGGCCTGCAGGAATCTCCACTGACCTCAACAAAACTCTGCTCACATTAGTCAAAGATCTCATTCTCACCGCTGGTGGTTTAATGAGATGTTGTTGTCGCTGCCGCAGGCACCATGTGGAGTACGTGATCCCGTACGAGGGCTCGGTCTCGGCGAGCTCCGTGGGTTCCTCCGCCGGGAGCAGCGTGAGCAAGCAGGAGCTGGACCTGGTGCTGGGTCTCCTGATGGGCTTCTGCATCAGCTGGATCCTGCTGTGGCTGGATGGAGCTCTTCACTGCGCACTGCGCTTATGGAGGTCCAGCAGACACTACGGTGAGATGAAGCACCATCGTGAGGAACCGTCTCAGATGCTTTAGACCTAACCCTCAGAACGCATTCGGGCCTGTTTTCAACCAGGAGAGATACGTTCAAAATTCTAAAAAAATTAAAAAGCATAGTGTTTAGTAAGAGAGTGAACCTGTGCAGATGCTTTAAGACCCTCAAAACACACATAATTTATCATTTTTTTTTATTTTGATTCTTTAGTATTATTTTTTAAGGGAAATAACCAATTAAAATGACCCGGGTATGTATGGAGCACCATTGGTGTCAAAAATACTTTTGTTAAATGATCTAGTATGAAGTTATATTAGTGTCAAAAACGTGTAAAATATATGCAGCCTTTTCCTCATATCTCGCACACTTTTTTGGACTGAATTTTGTTGATGAACATAAACTCTTGTATCAAACAGCCGTTCTTCAGGAATGTGAAACAGGGCTGAGGAGCTGACTGTATTATGGTGCTGTTTCAGGTGCGGACGGCGATGTGTGGCGCTCGTGGCGCTGGGTGTCGCGCGTGTGTAGCCTGCGAGAGCTGCGCAGACGCCTGCAGACGCGCCAGACGGAGGACGGCGGGAATAACGTGGTGCATGTCAAACAGAAGCTCTTCCACAACGGCCACCCGAGCCCCCGGCGCCTCTGACAGACTCTCTTCTGCTCGCTGTGTGGTTTCACTGGTGTCCTGAGTGTTCGTTTTGTAGGGTCTACACGTCACCGGGGGGGGGGTTGCATTTTTTAGACCATCGACATGAAAAACGGATCACTTTTTTTTTTTTACTAAAAGTGAAAGTTTATGCAAGTAATATGAGTTTATTTTGTTTAAAAAATTTTCAGAGTAATATATATGTTGTTTTGATAGAAATAAATATGTAGGTTTTATAAATTCGAGCTTAGAGAGTTATAAATTCAAAGGAATTTAATTAAATTTATTAATTCTCATGAGGTTAATACTGGTAATTCTCACATTATATGATCTTATAAATTCCATACAATGATATATTCATATCAAATTTCTAATCAATATAAAAAATAAATAAATAAATAATATATATATATATATATAAGCTTGCCTTGTAAATGATCAGATTTCCATTTTTGTCTTAAAAAAAATAACTGTTTATTTAACCCCAAATTTACATTTATGTATTTTAAATTTAGCTATATCTTCATGTATATATATATATATAACATTTTGTTGAAAAGATGGGCATGATGTGAACTTTAATAAATGTGCAGGAATTTGACCAAAGATGTTTCTGCGATTATTTGCACAAGATAAATCAATATCACAGTTAAATGTCTTTACAACAAAGTACGTAATTGCTAGTTAATGTTTATAAATTAGATTTAACAGGTGTTGACTTCTGTCTCTCTCTCAGAACATTAAGAAGAAAGACTCGGGCGGCGCAGCGGCAAAGTCTCGTCCGATGGGCGGCTCTTTGCTTCCTCCTCCACCTGGAGTCAAATCCTCCGCTCTGGTTCCTCCGCCCGCAGCGCAGCAGACGACACCCGACGCTCCGCCCAGCCCAGGTGAGAGCGACACGTCTGCGCATTTATCAGTCCCATCAGTGGGTGTGGCTAATACGAAGCTCCTCCCCTTTCAGGGATGATACTGGAGTTTGGAGACCCCGCCCCCGCCATGACTCCGCCCTCTCAGGACCTGTGGGGTGATTTCACGGCTGCAGGCTCCGGGTCAGTATGAAGATCAAACGGTTCGTCTGTCCGTCCGTCTACAGGCGTCTCACTCTCTGATGTGTTCGACAGGTCCGCTCAGGACTCGCGGTCGGGATGGGTGCAGTTCTAGCGAACCAACGACACACGGACGCTGTTTTCTATGCAATCACACGCAGCTGCACGGCTGATATCTGCTGCATTCCAGCTGGTGTTGACTTTCAAACATGTTTCTCATTAGTTATTCGCACACGTGCGATAAATGTCGTCAGTATCGTCTCTCGTTTAACTTTAAAGCTGAATGTGTCATGATAATGACTGTTTTCGAACAGGTTTCCTGAACACTCGCCCCATTCCGCCCCAAACTCACAGCATTGGTCGAGGCAGGAGTTAACAGAATCAAACAATAGAGAGTTAGTGTTTACAGGAAGTTCATGAAGTGACTTCCTCATAGTGACTCGCCATCAGGCTGCATTTCAACACTCAAACGAATGACACACTTCAGCTTTAAGGCATCAGCTTGAATGTCGGTAAGGTTTTTTTTAGTTTCTTCTAACGTCTTGAGTTCCGCCTGTGTTTTATCTGTGCGTCATGTGACCTGTCTGACTCAAACTGCTATTTCCACTCGGATCAGGATTTGAAGAGCTGGTTTTATACGTGTTTATAAGCAGATGATTTTTCACACTATATATTTTGGACTAACCCCAGACTTTATTCGCTTTATTTTTCCAGGTGATTACAGATTTATTCTTGATATTGTCAGTAATTAAAGTCTTAATCTTTCCTTCAAGTGCCTTTATGAAACACCTGTAGAATGTACAAATGATGGTTTATATATATGAATAAACCATTTCCTTTAATAAAGTGTCAGCTTTACAGTTTTTTTGCAGTAATACTGATTCATTCAATTTAATGATTCAATTTAAGGCACTAAATGTGACACGACCTCCACTTGTTGATGTCCTCAGGTAAGAATCATTCACGTGTTTGTTTTCTTTTAAGGGTTGAGTTAGCCTGAAGTTAATATAATTAACTGTATAAAACTATAATAGTATTTGATATGTATGAAAGCTCGTTAATTGCGACTTTTTACCTCACGATTCTTTTCTCACAATTCTGAGTTTATAATCACAATTTTCAGAACTGCGAGATAAAAACTTATTACTTTTCGAACTTTTTTTGTTTGTTTACTTTTTTAAAAAGTTCCGTAACGGAAACGGGCTTCCGTAGATATGTGCTCATTAACATAAGTAAATAAACATGAGCTGTGATGGTTGCCATGGTTGTGTTGTAGTTTCAGGTGTATGAATCAGAGCGTCTGATTTGTCCGGTGAGTGTACATAAACTGTCTGTTCTATTAAACATTAATGAAAATGAATATATACATAGATTCGAATTTACTGCGTCAGATGTCTTTATATTAGCGAGTTCAGTTGTTTTCATGGTGGTCGGTGTTATTATTTCACACTGTGTGCTAATAGCCGAAGTGAAGCCCGGTGTTTGTATGTAAATCCCGATTCAGTGATTTGGGGTCTTTTATATGCGCGGGAAGTGAGTGTGACCCCGGAAAGAGTCCAGACTGAGCATCACACACACAAACACAATGGGGATTTAATGCGGAATTAATGCCGTTTTGCCGGTAAGATCCGTCGTGATTTGCTGAAATATTAATAAATGCGATCGACCACTCGTCATCAGTGTATTAACATTATCCGTTAATTAATCGCGCTGTAAAGCGTCGCGTCGCGGAGTCTTTACGCAGCCGGAGGTTTCTTTATTCGAGTCGACGCGTGTTTAAAGATAAACACACAAAGAAGTAAGTTACTCAAAAGATGGATTAGAATATAAAAAAAGCGCCTGATTATGAAACCACCTGTGTTTTTGATGGGTTTTATGTCGTGCAGTGAAAGGGAAAGGAGTTTAGTTCCTCAGAGATTTAAACGCTGTAGTTCCTGAACGCGCCTCAGGGGGCACACTCTCGCTTTGTGTTTAAATAACACTGAAAACATACAACCAATTATTGTATGTTGTATCAAATATTAATCCGAAGACGTTACACAGGATATATTAAATATGTAAACCCCAGTCTCTTTCTGAGCAATTCCTCAGATAATAATCCAAATCTCTGACTGGATTTGGTGGCAGTTATTTTGTGTTGATGGGGCTGTTGTCATGGTGATGGGGTAGTTAGTGCAGTTAGTAGGTTCAGTGTGGAATCACAAATGTTACTGGTATTTCTGCAGATCTTGTTTTCTCTCAGCTCTCTTTGTGTTATGAGGTAGTTTATTGCAGGTATTTTATGAGTTTATTGTTTCAGTTTCTCTTTTGATTGCGCGCTGCGCTCGAGCACATTTAATCTCAGTCAATCTCATTAAAGCCTCCTGCTCTCTCTCTCTCTCTCTCTCTCGCTCTCTCTCTCTCTCTCTCAGAGTCTCATTCCGTCTCTCTCTGAGTGTGTTCGTTCGGGAAGGCTCGGAATAACTGGATTATTATCAGGATTCGTTTATGAAGCGGATTCCTGCTAGGAAACGCGCGGGAGTCCACGTGACGAACGGCGCGATTTCTGTGATTTAAATTTTAACGGATTTTCGCTCTGATTCTAAATTCGTCATGAGCGCGTCTGAAAACCCGAGCGAGTCCAAACTCGAGGCGGTGATTCAGGTGCAGTTCATTTACTTCATTATTAGAACAACTACCCCAAAAAAATAGGTGTAAAACAATTTTTGCTTAGAAATTGCTCATAATTTCACAAATAATTACAAAGGAACCAGAAAGAATACATGGAATTGAACAAAAAAAAAATTGAAGTAGAAAGACTGAAATGGTATTTCTGTGTAAAACGAAATCGAAAAATCTTTTTGTTTACAGCTTAAAAACATATTTTTTACAGTGTGTGCTTGAGTTGTTGGTTTAATATTGTCGCATTAGTGACTCCGCAGGTGTGTGTTCTGATCTGATCTAAATATACAACAGATCACCACTGAGACCATCTGCTACAGACACTGACAGTGTGTGTGTGTGTGTGTGTGTGTGTGTCAGAGGCTGGAGGAGAGCGTTCTGTCCGAGGAGAAGCGGCTGACGGTTCGAGGATCTTCTCCAGATGAACCTGCAGCTAGTTTACCGGCCCGTGTGCGAGAGATCGTCTCCAGGAACCTGAGCGACAGCGGTGAGACCCCTCAGACCTTCACACACCGTCACTGAGCTCCACACATCCAACACCTGTCTGTCTGTCTTTCTGTCTGTCAGCTGGAGGCATGTCGTCGGGTCTGTCGCTTCAGGAGGAGAACCGGGTTCTGCAGACAGAACTGAGTCGTGTGGAGGATCTTCTAGCTCACAGCCGAGCAGAACGAGATGAGCTGGCCATCAAATACAGCGCCATCAGCGAGAGAGTGAGACACACACACACTTACAATACAGGGTCATTTGGAGAACCTGAATAAGTTCATCAAAGAACGTGTCATAGTCTGGTTCTTCAGAAAGAACCGAACCGTAGCTCAAGAACCCGAAAGAGACGATTGACGGTTCCTCACACACATACACTCACACACACACTCACACATACACACACACACACACACACACACACAGTCTGGTCAGCTATCCTTGTGGGGACATTCCATAGGCGTAATGGTTTTTATACTGTACAGACCGTATATTCTATTGCCCTCCACCAACCCTACCCCTAAACCTACCCCTCACAGGAAACTTTGTTTGTTTTTAGATTTTCAAAAAACTTCATCACACATACACACACACACACACATACACTCACACATACACACGCACACACACCACACACAAACACGCATCCACACACACACACATACACACACACACACACATACACTCACACATACACACGCACACACACCACACACAAACACGCATCCACACACACACACATACACACACACACACACATACACTCACACATACACACGCACACACACACAAACACACATACACACACACACACACACTCTCACATACACACACACCACACACACACACACGCTCGGTCTTTTGTCTGTGTCTCGGCGAGGTTGACCCGTCTCCGTGGTAATGGCGAGTGGAATGTAGTGGAGTGGCATGTTGCCATGACGACTGTAAACAGTGAGGGTCCGTCTGGACGACTGTGATTTATTCAGAGTCTTTCACCATCAGTCTGAACAGGAAATGTAAAAGTGAACGTGAGCTGTGTTTAACTGTGATGTAGGTCGCCTGGGAGCTGTTTTATGGTTGCTAGGGTGTTCTAGGTGGTTGCTAGTGGGGCTTCACGCGTGATAGCACCAAATCACAAGGCTGCGATTTTATTCAAATAAAAGTTCAAATTAGGGATGTTAATTTTAACCGGTTAACTGACCGTAAGAATTTTGACCGATTAATACAATTAGTTAAACGGTTTAAAAAGTCATTTAATTATTTATTTTTTCAGTAATTTATCAAAATATTTAAAAATGTTTGCTGCATGGTTAAAATACGCTACGCGTATAAAAAATTTTGTTTTTTAGGGGGGAAAAACATAAGTCGCGTTAAGTCGCATTTTATTTCATTCAGAAATGGGCCTAATGCCTACGCGAAATGTTTACAAACATTATAATAAACACTGTAAACATAGCTAGGCTATTTTAGTTCCCCTCACTCCACAACAAATCCTTTCAATTAACAGTATTTAGAAAAGAACAAGAATTAAAAATATAAGAAGCTATATCAATATAAACGACAAGCCAAAACGAAACTGAAACAAACGTTGTAACTCTAACAGTAGGCTATTTAATATCTGTTGTTCTCCGGCTGTCAGTCAGAATGACAGCTCTTGCGTGAACATAGGCCTATATATACCCAAGCCAATTTATTATTCTTTCCTTTTTGTCTTAGTGTTTAAAATATTTATTTTGAAACGAATTAATTAATTTCTTAATTAAACAAACAAACAAACTGGGTGAGCAGGGTAGGCTATGACAGCTGTCATATCATACCCTGCCATGCCCAGCTGATTTATCAAAGTTTATAGTTATATGGAATCGGAAGTGGTTAACATTCAACCCGTTCTTTTTCATCAGCAGTATATTTTGTTCATCGTGTGGTGTTTGTAGTTGGAGCAGGCGCTGCGTTTGGAGACGGGCGAGGAGGGACGGGACTCTCCAGAGTCTCGCAGTCTGGCGCAGCAGAACGTAGATCTGCGCAGACGTCTGGACGAGGAGCAGGCGGCGTATAAACGCAAACTCACGGCGTATCAGGAGGGGCAGCAGAGACAAGCGCAGCTCGTGCAGAAACTACAGGCCAAGGTACAGCACAGTGGATCTGAAGCACTGACTGCGCCTGGGTTCTCTCTGACAGAACTCGTTTGTGTTTGTGTGAGTGCAGGTTCTCCAGTACAAGAAGAAGTGTGCAGATCTCGAACAGACGCTGCTGGAGAAATCGACTGTGAGAACAGCAGATACTCGCCACACCTCCTGTCTCACTGTAGCTCTAGGTTCTCATTCTGTGTGCTGGGTAGTAACGGATCACATAATCAGATTACAAAAATTAAATACCAGTAATCCAATTATAATACATTTTAAAATAGTCGTAATTAGACTTCATTTATATGATTACATATTATTCACACAATAGCAATAAGTTATTCATAATTTATTGATTCTTTATCTATCTTTTTCATCTTTTATCCCCAGTTTGGGAAACCTTGACGTAATGTAACGTTTAATGCATGTTGTCAGTACGAATGCCATATAGTTTCTTTCTCTTTGTATTTTTACATCAATGGTACAAGATTATCCTATTTAAATAAATGTGATAAACCAGTTAGATCCAAAGTAATCTAAAAGTAGTCAGATTTTATTAGCTAAAAATGAGTAATGTAATGGATTATGTTACTAAGTGCAGTTTTTGTCATGTAATCAGTAACGAACTACAGTTCGGTAAGTAATTTGGCCAGCTCTGTGCCGCTGTAGGGTCAGTGTGACGGCAGCAGTAACGGTCACCGGCGGGACGAGGATGAGCCGAGCAGTGAGCTGGAGAGCGCCCTCATCCGGCTGGAGGAGGAACAGCAGAGGTGTGCCACTCACTGGACTAACACCGCCCTGTAAACCTGCAGTGTGAGCGTGTGCTAAGCGTGTTTGTGTGTGCGCAGGAGCAGCGGCCTGTCCGCCGTCAACGCCATGCTGCGGGAGCAGCTGGAACAGGCCGGACTGGCCAATGAGGCGCTCAGCCAGGACATCCGCAGACTCACCGCTGATTGGACCAAAGCCAGGGAGGAGCTGGAGCAGAGGGAGTCTGATTGGAGGAGAGAGGAGGAGGTGGGTGTGGCCGTCCGCATCACTGAAACCCAGATGAAAAAAGTGGCGCAGTTTGACGCGGTGCGTTTGTTCAGTCTTTCCACAGTTACTTCAGCAGCGAGCACAGCCGTCTGCTGGCGCTCTGGAGGCAGGTGGTGGGCTTCCGCAGACACGTGTGCGAGCTGAAGAGCGCCACCGAGAGGTCAGACCGTGTCACTGCACCCGTGCACACTGCTCTACAGCTGAGGCGCGGTAAACACTGACGCCGTGTCTGTCTGTCTGTCCGTCAGGGACCTGTGCGAGGTGCGTAACGAGCTGGCGAGTGTGGCGCAGAGCGTGCAGCTGCAGTGCGTGCGCGTCTGCGCAGATCTGCGCAGCCGTGAGGACGGTTCAACGCTGCTGCTGGAGAGAGAGACGGCCCAGCGGCTGCAGCTGGAGCAGCAGCTCAGAGAGACGGTGACGGAGATGATGACGCTGCAGGCCAAGAGCGACTCGGAGAGAGCCGAGCTCAACAAACGGTCCGTTACTGCGCACAACTACACGCTTACTAAATTAACTAGCGGTCTGAATAAAGCCCTGTATAACTAGGCTGGTTAAGGTCTAAATTTATACATGTTTACTAAATTAACTAGTGAAGGAGGCCCTGTATAATGAGGCTGGTTAAGGTCTGAATTTATACATGTTTATTAAATTAACTAGCGGTCTGAATGAAGCCCTGTATAACTAGGCTGGTTAAGGTCTAAATTTATACATGTTTACTAAATTAACTAGTGAAGGAGGCCCTGTATAATGAGGCTGGTTAAGGTCTGAATTTATACATGTTTATTAAATTAACTAGCGGTCTGAATGAAGCCCTGTATAACTAGGCTGGATAAGGTCTAAATTTATACATGTTTACTAAATTAACTAGTACTCTCAAAGAGACCCCATATAATGAGGCTAGTTAAGGTTTTAATTTATACATTTACTAAAATAACTAGTACTCTGAAGTAAGTCCTGTATAATGTGGTTTAAGGACTTTATTAATGAGCTTTTGAAAAATGTTTAACAACTCAGTATTGGACTAGTCAACCATCATTAGTTAGTGTCTGGAGTGTTGTATGTGCTGGTTAAAGTTTATTTATTAAATTGTGTGTGTGTGTGTGTGTGTTTGTCAGGCTTACGGATGCCGTGAGAGAGCTGGAGCGTCTCAAAGCTCGTGTGGAGGACAGAGAACAGGAAGTCACAACACTCAACAGGAAACTACAGGTACACACACACTCGTCTGTTTAACATTTGTCTAGATAACTTTGTGAACCGCCCACTTAGACAGGTAAAGCGACCAATCACAGACCAGACATAGCAAGCCCATAGCAACTTAAATGTAATGTGATGTGAAGCCTGATCATCAGTCAAGTCAAGTCACCTTTACTTGTATAGTGCTTTATACAATACAGATTGTGTCAAAGCAGCTTTACAGAGTCAAACAGGAAAATAGTGTGTCACTAATGCAAGAGGATGGTAACAGAGAGTCAAAGAGTCATCAGATGTGTGTGTTGTCAGGATCAGAGGACACACACACACATGCCAGTCACTATTTCACTGATGTGTGTATTAATGTGTGTGTGTAGCTGGTGTTCTCAGACAGTGGCGGTGTGGATGGAAACACTGAAGAGTCTCTGCTGCCGCTGCTGCGCTCTTCTTCATCATCAGCCATCATCCCTGACAGTTGTCTGTCTGCACTGCGCTCCGCTCTGACCAGCAGACAGATCCAGCTACAGGTACACACACACACACAAACAGACAGTATACGCTCTGTGATCCGCTGTCCATCACAGTGTGTGTTTGTGCGCAGGAGCTGCGAGAGCGTCTGCAGTCTGCGCAGTCTTCAGTGCAGCAGCTGCGCAGGCAGCAGGGGGAGGCGGAGTCAGGCCGACGGGAGGCGGAGCTCCGTGCGCAGACGCTGCAGGGCGAGAGAGACGAGGCTCAGAGAGAGAGAGAGACCGCTGTGAGAGAGAGAGACCGACTGAGACAGGAGAGAGACACGCTGAGCAGGTGAGACACGTCACACGACCTGTCAATCAACCTGAGTCATGTGACCAGTGACTGGACCTGTCTGTCTCTCTGTCAGTGAGAAGGACGCAGCAGATAAGGCTGCACAGGCGGCGCAGACGCAAATGCAGGTGCTGCAGCTGGAGTGTGATAGGCTGCAGCTGGCCATCACGTCTGCGCAGAGAGAGCGCGAACACGAGCGAGAAGAGAGAGACGCCGCCGCGCTGGAGAGAGACCGAGTCCGATCAGAGACAGACAGACTGTGAGTCTGATGCGTGTTTGTGTCTGAGCGAAGCGCGAGTGTGTGACGTGTTACTGACGTGTGTGAGTGTGTGTCAGTCAGCAGCTGTGGGAGGAGTCGGAGCGTCGCGCGTCTTCACTACGTGCTGAACTGGCGGCGCTGATGACCGGACCTGTCTGTCTCTCTGTCAGTGAGAAGGACGCAGCAGATAAGGCTGCACAGGCGGCGCAGACGCAAATGCAGGTGCTGCAGCTGGAGTGTGATAGGCTGCAGCTGGCCATCACGTCTGCGCAGAGAGAGCGCGAACACGAGCGAGAAGAGAGAGACGCCGCCGCGCTGGAGAGAGACCGAGTCCGATCAGAGACAGACAGACTGTGAGTCTGATGCGTGTTTGTGTCTGAGCGAAGCGCGAGTGTGTGACGTGTTACTGACGTGTGTGAGTGTGTGTCAGTCAGCAGCTGTGGGAGGAGTCGGAGCGTCGCGCGTCTTCACTACGTGCTGAACTGGCGGCGCTGAGGGAATCTATCCAGCAGGGGGCGACAGACAGACAGCTGATGCAGGCTGAGAACAGACAGCTGAGTGACGCGCTCAACAGGGTCAGACACACACAAAAGCATCGTTCGCCAACTATGGTCACAAGTTCCTTAGTTACCAACATCATACTGAATGTTGAGAAAAGCACTATATAAATGCATTGAATTGTTATAATATTTTATTGTTATTACTTTACTTACTTTAGTGTAATATTTTTATTTAGTGATTATAAGAATAATAAAAGTAATTATAATTATTATTTTGTATTTTCAGTGATTTGGCTACAAACAAGCACAACAAACCTCTTGTTTAAGTTGCATTTTAAATTGCAATCACAGTTTTTATCAGAAAAATCACAATTATTATTTCGCCCAGATCATGCAGCCCATATTTCTTAATTTGTGTACGATTTTTATTTAGCAATATAAAAACACAATAATAATAATAATTATGATTATTAATGTCATGATATAGTCGTATTTTTGGCCAAATTGTGCACTCTGCAAACAGGCACAGCAAACTTGGCTCAATTTTAGTAAGAAAAATCACAATTAGTTTTCCCCAAATACTCTCTAGTATGCATACTTCATATGTGGTGATTGATGTGTGTGTGTGCAGAGCGGGAGCAGTCATGCTGAACTCTCTCTAGTGCTCAGCAAGCTTCACTCGGAGGAGTCGTCACTCAGAGATTCTCTCGCTAAGATGAGCGGCATTAATGAGAGTCTCGCGCAGGACAAATCTGACCTCAACAGCCTCATCATACAGGTACCAGACTCACACAATTATGCACACGTACATTTAACTGAAGTTTCACAGTATATTAAACATGAAATGATTTTTGTCAGGGTTTGTTTGGATCATATTACTGGTTAATATTATTTGTATAGTATTTATAGAGAGTAAAGGTGTTTCAGTGACAAATTAACCAATGATATTGGTCTATTGAATGATTGACAGCTGGAGGAGGAAAAGAATGCATTGCTGTCTCAGCGAAGAGAAGCAGAACAAGAGAAACTGACCATCAGAGATGAGCTGGTCCGCTCCGAGCAGGACCGACTGGAGCTGGACTCTCTCCGTCTCGCTCTCCACCAATCACTGCAGGAGTCTGAGCTGGCCAGGGCGGGGTTGGAGGCGGAGCTTCAGTCGCTGCAGGCAGACAGAGCCAAACTCCAGGACAGAATCACACAGGTGACAGTCTCTCTCTCTCTCTCGCTCTCTCTCTCTCTCTCTCTCTCTCTCTCCATCTGTCCCTTAGTGCCTCATAAACTGTTTCTGATGTGCTGCTGTCAATCAAACAGCTGATTGGTGAGGTGGGTGGTTTGGAGGCGGAGCTCGGTTCTGTCCGCGGTGAAGGAGACAGGCAGAGCGCCGCTCTCGAGGAGGCGGTGTGTGGGCGGGCGGAGCTAGTGCGAGAGAGGGCGGGGCTTCTGGTTCAGCTGACGGCGTCAGAGAGAGAGAACGCCGCCCTGACGGAGGAGCTCGCCGCCTTCAGGTGAGACCGAACATGTATGTGTCATGATGTTAGTGTGTTAATATATGCATGTGTGTTTCATTAACTGAGTGTGTGCAGGACGGAGCGGGAGAGTCTGGAGACGAGTCTGTTCGAGCTGCAGCAGCAGATAAATCAGATCGAGTGTCGATGCGAACAGCTGGAGTCAGAGAACCAAAACCTGAGACTGCGCACTGACAGCATGATGGGTAATTGAGAGAGAGACAGGTGCATGAATGAGAGTGAGACAGGTGCATGAATGAGAGTGAGACGGGTACGTGAATGAGCGAGTGAGACGGGTGCATGAATGAGAGTGAGACGGGTGCATGAATGAGAGAGTGAGACGGGTGCATGAATGAGAGAGTGAGACGGGTGCATGAATGAGAGAGTGAGACGGGTGCATGAATGAGAGAGTGAGACAGATACATGAGAGAGAGACGGGTGCATGAATGAGAGAGTGAGACAGATACATGAGAGAGTGAGACAGGTGCATGAATGAGAGAGTGAGACAGGTGCATGAATGAGAGAGTGAGACAGGTGCATGAATGAGAGAGTGAGACAGGTGCATGAATGAGAGAGTGAGACCGATACATGAGAGAGTGAGACAGGTGCATGAATGAGTGAACGGGTGCATGAATGAGAGAGTGAGACGGGTGCATGAATGAGAGAGTGAGACGGGTGCATGAATGAGAGAGTGAGACGGGTGCATGAATGAGAGAGTGAGACGGGTGCATGAATGAGAGAGTGAGACGGGTGCATGAATGAGAGAGTGAGACGGGTGCATGAATGAGAGAGTGAGACGGGTGCATGAATGAGAGAGTGAGACGGGTGCATGAATGAGAGAGTGAGACGGGTGCATGAATGAGAGAGTGAGACGGGTGCATGAATGAGAGAGTGAGACGGGTGCATGAATGAGAGAGTGAGACGGGTGCATGAATGAGAGAGTGAGACGGGTGCATGAATGAGAGAGTGAGACGGGTGCATGAATGAGAGAGTGAGACGGGTGCATGAATGAGAGAGTGAGACGGGTGCATGAATGAGAGAGTGAGACGGGTGCATGAATGAGAGAGTGAGACGGGTGCATGAATGAGAGAGTGAGACGGGTGCATGAATGAGAGAGTGAGACGGGTGCATGAATGAGAGAGTGAGACGGGTGCATGAATGAGAGAGTGAGACGGGTGCATGAATGAGAGAGTGAGACGGGTGCATGAATGAGAGAGTGAGACGGGTGCATGAATGAGAGAGTGAGACGGGTGCATGAATGAGAGAGTGAGACGGGTGCATGAATGAGAGAGTGAGACGGGTGCATGAATGAGAGAGTGAGACGGGTGCATGAATGAGAGAGTGAGACGGGTGCATGAATGAGAGAGTGAGACGGGTGCATGAATGAGAGAGTGAGACGGGTGCATGAATGAGAGAGTGAGACGGGTGCATGAATGAGAGAGTGAGACGGGTGCATGAATGAGAGAGTGAGACGGGTGCATGAATGAGAGAGTGAGACGGGTGCATGAATGAGAGAGTGAGACGGGTGCATGAATGAGAGAGTGAGACGGGTGCATGAATGAGAGAGTGAGACGGGTGCATGAATGAGAGAGTGAGACGGGTGCATGAATGAGAGAGTGAGACGGGTGCATGAATGAGAGAGTGAGACGGGTGCATGAATGAGAGAGTGAGACGGGTGCATGAATGAGAGAGTGAGACGGGTGCATGAATGAGAGAGTGAGACGGGTGCATGAATGAGAGAGTGAGACGGGTGCATGAATGAGAGAGTGAGACGGGTGCATGAATGAGAGAGTGAGACGGGTGCATGAATGAGAGAGTGAGACGGGTGCATGAATGAGAGAGTGAGACGGGTGCATGAATGAGAGAGTGAGACGGGTGCATGAATGAGAGAGTGAGACGGGTGCATGAATGAGAGAGTGAGACGGGTGCATGAATGAGAGAGTGAGACGGGTGCATGAATGAGAGAGTGAGACGGGTGCATGAATGAGAGAGTGAGACGGGTGCATGAATGAGAGAGTGAGACGGGTGCATGAATGAGAGAGTGAGACGGGTGCATGAATGAGAGAGTGAGACGGGTGCATGAATGAGAGAGTGAGACGGGTGCATGAATGAGAGAGTGAGACGGGTGCATGAATGAGAGAGTGAGACGGGTGCATGAATGAGAGAGTGAGACGGGTGCATGAATGAGAGAGTGAGACGGGTGCATGAATGAGAGAGTGAGACGGGTGCATGAATGAGAGAGTGAGACGGGTGCATGAATGAGAGAGTGAGACGGGTGCATGAATGAGAGAGTGAGACGGGTGCATGAATGAGAGAGTGAGACGGGTGCATGAATGAGAGAGTGAGACGGGTGCATGAATGAGAGAGTGAGACGGGTGCATGAATGAGAGAGTGAGACGGGTGCATGAATGAGAGAGTGAGACGGGTGCATGAATGAGAGAGTGAGACGGGTGCATGAATGAGAGAGTGAGACGGGTGCATGAATGAGAGAGTGAGACGGGTGCATGAATGAGAGAGTGAGACGGGTGCATGAATGAGAGAGTGAGACGGGTGCATGAATGAGAGAGTGAGACGGGTGCATGAATGAGAGAGTGAGACGGGTGCATGAATGAGAGAGTGAGACGGGTGCATGAATGAGAGAGTGAGACGGGTGCATGAATGAGAGAGTGAGACGGGTGCATGAATGAGAGAGTGAGACGGGTGCATGAATGAGAGAGTGAGACGGGTGCATGAATGAGAGAGTGAGACGGGTGCATGAATGAGAGAGTGAGACGGGTGCATGAATGAGAGAGTGAGACGGGTGCATGAATGAGAGAGTGAGACGGGTGCATGAATGAGAGAGTGAGACGGGTGCATGAATGAGAGAGTGAGACGGGTGCATGAATGAGAGAGTGAGACGGGTGCATGAATGAGAGAGTGAGACGGGTGCATGAATGAGAGAGTGAGACGGGTGCATGAATGAGAGAGTGAGACGGGTGCATGAATGAGAGAGTGAGACGGGTGCATGAATGAGAGAGTGAGACGGGTGCATGAATGAGAGAGTGAGACGGGTGCATGAATGAGAGAGTGAGACGGGTGCATGAATGAGAGAGTGAGACGGGTGCATGAATGAGAGAGTGAGACGGGTGCATGAATGAGAGAGTGAGACGGGTGCATGAATGAGAGAGTGAGACGGGTGCATGAATGAGAGAGTGAGACGGGTGCATGAATGAGAGAGTGAGACGGGTGCATGAATGAGAGAGTGAGACGGGTGCATGAATGAGAGAGTGAGACGGGTGCATGAATGAGAGAGTGAGACGGGTGCATGAATGAGAGAGTGAGACGGGTGCATGAATGAGAGAGTGAGACGGGTGCATGAATGAGAGAGTGAGACGGGTGCATGAATGAGAGAGTGAGACGGGTGCATGAATGAGAGAGTGAGACGGGTGCATGAATGAGAGAGTGAGACGGGTGCATGAATGAGAGAGTGAGACGGGTGCATGAATGAGAGAGTGAGACGGGTGCATGAATGAGAGAGTGAGACGGGTGCATGAATGAGAGAGTGAGACGGGTGCATGAATGAGAGAGTGAGACGGGTGCATGAATGAGAGAGTGAGACGGGTGCATGAATGAGAGAGTGAGACGGGTGCATGAATGAGAGAGTGAGACGGGTGCATGAATGAGAGAGTGAGACGGGTGCATGAATGAGAGAGTGAGACGGGTGCATGAATGAGAGAGTGAGACGGGTGCATGAATGAGAGAGTGAGACGGGTGCATGAATGAGAGAGTGAGACGGGTGCATGAATGAGAGAGTGAGACGGGTGCATGAATGAGAGAGTGAGACGGGTGCATGAATGAGAGAGTGAGACGGGTGCATGAATGAGAGAGTGAGACGGGTGCATGAATGAGAGAGTGAGACGGGTGCATGAATGAGAGAGTGAGACGGGTGCATGAATGAGAGAGTGAGACGGGTGCATGAATGAGAGAGTGAGACGGGTGCATGAATGAGAGAGTGAGACGGGTGCATGAATGAGAGAGTGAGACGGGTGCATGAATGAGAGAGTGAGACGGGTGCATGAATGAGAGAGTGAGACGGGTGCATGAATGAGAGAGTGAGACGGGTGCATGAATGAGAGAGTGAGACGGGTGCATGAATGAGAGAGTGAGACGGGTGCATGAATGAGAGAGTGAGACGGGTGCATGAATGAGAGAGTGAGACGGGTGCATGAATGAGAGAGTGAGACGGGTGCATGAATGAGAGAGTGAGACGGGTGCATGAATGAGAGAGTGAGACGGGTGCATGAATGAGAGAGTGAGACGGGTGCATGAATGAGAGAGTGAGACGGGTGCATGAATGAGAGAGTGAGACGGGTGCATGAATGAGAGAGTGAGACGGGTGCATGAATGAGAGAGTGAGACGGGTGCATGAATGAGAGAGTGAGACGGGTGCATGAATGAGAGAGTGAGACGGGTGCATGAATGAGAGAGTGAGACGGGTGCATGAATGAGAGAGTGAGACGGGTGCATGAATGAGAGAGTGAGACGGGTGCATGAATGAGAGAGTGAGACGGGTGCATGAATGAGAGAGTGAGACGGGTGCATGAATGAGAGAGTGAGACGGGTGCATGAATGAGAGAGTGAGACGGGTGCATGAATGAGAGAGTGAGACGGGTGCATGAATGAGAGAGTGAGACGGGTGCATGAATGAGAGAGTGAGACGGGTGCATGAATGAGAGAGTGAGACGGGTGCATGAATGAGAGAGTGAGACGGGTGCATGAATGAGAGAGTGAGACGGGTGCATGAATGAGAGAGTGAGACGGGTGCATGAATGAGAGAGTGAGACGGGTGCATGAATGAGAGAGTGAGACGGGTGCATGAATGAGAGAGTGAGACGGGTGCATGAATGAGAGAGTGAGACGGGTGCATGAATGAGAGAGTGAGACGGGTGCATGAATGAGAGAGTGAGACGGGTGCATGAATGAGAGAGTGAGACGGGTGCATGAATGAGAGAGTGAGACGGGTGCATGAATGAGAGAGTGAGACGGGTGCATGAATGAGAGAGTGAGACGGGTGCATGAATGAGAGAGTGAGACGGGTGCATGAATGAGAGAGTGAGACGGGTGCATGAATGAGAGAGTGAGACGGGTGCATGAATGAGAGAGTGAGACGGGTGCATGAATGAGAGAGTGAGACGGGTGCATGAATGAGAGAGTGAGACGGGTGCATGAATGAGAGAGTGAGACGGGTGCATGAATGAGAGAGTGAGACGGGTGCATGAATGAGAGAGTGAGACGGGTGCATGAATGAGAGAGAGAGACGGGTGCATGAATGAGAGAGTGAGACAGATACATGAGAGAGAGAGAGACGGGTTTTATTTTAAATGAGCCCTATTTTGACGTTTAGTTTGTCTGTGTTTAGCGGAGCTGAAGTGTTTGCGCACTGAAAGAGAGACGGTTCTGTCTCAGAGCGAGAAAGAGAAAGACGTGCTGAGAGACACACTCACGGCCGCTCAACAGGAGGCTCAGCGAGCTCTGCATGCAGCCCTGTCCGACCACCAGGAGGAGCTGGAGAGACTGACCAATCAGAAGGTCATACGAGCGCTCCTGTATGCGTTACATGTGACGTGTTTCAGGCGTACCCATCACGTGATATCATGTGAATCCTGTAGGAGGTGCTGCGCTGCAGTCTGGAGGCGGAGCAGGAGGTGGCGCTGCGGCGTGTCCGTGAACACCTGGAGGAGCAGATGATCCGGCAGGAGAGAGAGCGAGATGAGCTTCAAGAAGAGCTGCGTTCCCTGCAGCGCAACAGGGACCAGAGTCTGCTACAGGCCGAGACGGACAAACAGCAGGTGAGACTCGCACTGGAAGCTCAGGTGTGTCCGTGTCGTTTCTGTCGTAACCGTCTGATGGCGTGTCCAGGCGCTGTCTGTGAAGGAGGCGGAGAAGACGGTTCTGTGGGAGAAGCTGAGCTCCCTACAGGCGGAGCTGAGCACTGCAGCGCTGGAGCTGGAGAGACTGAGCCGAGAGACGGCGCTCCTCAGAGACCAGGAGCGGGTCAGAAAACTAAACTACTGCATGATTCAACACTAGCTGTTTCCATCCAGAGCTGCCAATTTCATTTACACGAAAAATTGAAACATCTCATGAAAATTGCGGATAAAGCACCATTTTCATCCCTTGTGTTTAAGAGAACAAAATCGTCACTTCTGTATCAATAATAAAAATGAAAGTTGTTTAACCTGGGGAATCCATTGCAGCTCTTTTTTCCTACATGTTAAATTACTTGTGCCTTTACAAAACACAATACTCTGTCATGTTATCTTGCGTTCGGAGGTGGATGCAAATACTTGTTACATATTGTTGTGCATTTATTCGTTTAAGGAAATTACCCGCCTCAATTGAGTGCATACATTTATGCACATATTAAAAATTTTACATGCATCTTAGCATTTTTTTTAATGCAGTATCCCAAAAATTTAATACAAATGTGTGGATGGAAACACAGATATTGTGTCAGTGACTCTCTAATAGTCTTAATAATCATGGGTGTGTTCTAAACAGAGGTTTGAATTTGTCTGTAGAATGCCGTTGCGGCTCTAAGCGCAGAACTGCAGGAACTGCGCAGTCAGCTGCAGGACGCAGCCAGTGCACACAGGCGTGAGCTGCGCAGGCTACAGGAGAACTGCGCCGAGCAGCAGATGCAAGCAGATACGGCGCTCAGAGAGGTTTGTGAAGGAAACTTTATCATGCCTGAAGAGCAGAACACAACAGTAAGATGTGTAATTGTTTTTTCTCCTGCAGTTGGAGGAGTGTCGCGCGCTGCTGTCGTCTAGCGAGGAGAGCCGTGACAGTGCCAGACGAGAGCTGCTGGAGATGGAGAAACGCTTGTGCCAGATACGGGATGCGGGGGAGGGGCACAGGCGAGAGGGGGCGGAGCTACGGCACTCCCTCAGTGATGTCACCAAGGAGAGGGACACTCTCAGCCAATCAAACGTGCAGCTGAGGGAAACGCTGAGAGCATCAGAGAGCGAGAGAATCAGGTGACGGACGCTTTAACAAACTCTGTGTGCCAATCTATGGAAGCTTGTTTCCACCATGGGATAAGAGTCAGAATTGCTTGATGTAAACTTAGAATTGTGAGATATAAATTCACAACTTTAAGAAACCAGAGATATAAATTGTGACGAAATCTTCTCAAAAAAGTCACAATTGTGAGATTGTAAGCTCGCATTTACCTTTTTAATTTTTTAATCCCGTAGCGGAAACAAGCTTCCATACAATTCACTTATACTGCGCTTATGAAAATTAATGAATACTACATTGTTGAAGGGTTTTTATCTGTAATAAAACTAATGAGAACAGCAAGTATTCAAACTGTCATGCAGATGATTTTCTTTCTGCTGATTGGAGGGACTTCACTGTGCTGTGTCTGTCTGTGTTCAGCGTGAAGCGCGTGTGTGAGGAGAAGGAGCAGAGAGTGTCTCTGCTGGAGGAGAGTCTGGCGTCTGCGCAGAAGGAGGTGTCTGATCTGCGCAGCTGTCTGCGCGAGGTGGAGAGGTCCAGACTGGAGGCGCGCAGGGAGCTGCAGGAGCTGCGCAGACAGGTCAGACCGAAGCGCTGTGAACACTGAGCGCTGAGAGCCAGAGCTGGCGTCTGATGTGTGACTCTGTGCCCTCAGGTGAAGCTTCTGGACGTGGAGCGCGAGCAGAAGAGCAAGCAGCTGGCCGAGATGCAGACGCGTCTGTCGCTGGAGGAGCACAAAGACGAGGAGCGAGCCAGAGAACTGATCTCGCTCAAACAGAGACTCGCCGACACAGAAACTACCAGAAACTCTCTTCAGAAAGAGGTGAGATCTCCAATTCGATATGGGTCGATTTATGTTAATGTCGCCACTTAAATGAACGTCATCTAATAATGAAATTCCAGTCTAGTTGCAGCTGCATCTATAAATTTGTATTCTTTAAGAATCTAAAAATATTAACGGCAGCTGTCTCTCTCTCTAGCTGTCTTCTCTACAGCGGCGTCTGGGCGAGAGCGAGTCGTGTTGGCGCAGTCGCGAGCGAGAGTTGGCGTCTCAGCTGCAGGAGGCTCGCGGCTGTGAGAAGAAGCTTCAGGACGAGGCGCGTAACCTCTCGGTGCGCGCTCATTCGGCCTGCGAGGCGTCTGCGCAGACGCAGCTGCAGCTGAGCGAGGCGCAGGGCCGTCTGGCTGCGACGGAGGCAGAGCTATCGCGAGCGGAGGCGGCACGCAGGGATCTGGAGTTCAGGCTGTGCAGTCTGCAGTCGGCGCTCACGCGCACGCTGGGCATCGGAGCCAGTGGGCGGAGCAGCAGCAGGGGGCGGAGCCCGGCAGGCTCCTCCCCTTCCTCTCTGACCTCAGGGATGATGTCTCGCCATCGGAGCGTGTCTCCGCTGCACTGCTCGCTATCGCCACCCAAAGGTCAGATTCAGTTTTAAAGAAGTTTGAAGTGAAATCTGTGGAATAAAGAGCTGCTTTTGGTCCGGAGAGGAAGTTCTGCATGATTTCTCTGCTGTCTCAGACGTGGCAGGTAACGTGACTCCTGATAACACCATGGTGTTGCGGCCGTTGTCTCCCGAGAGGACAGATGCCCCGCTGCCCGTCGCCCTGAAGGAGCTGGACCCGGAAACCCTGCGCAGCGGCCTCCGAGACTTCCTGCAGGAGCTGCGCGAGGCTCAGAGAGAACGAGTAACACGCTACACTCACGACTGTTCACTTCAAGAGCCATAACTACAACCATAATGATTATGACGGCTATATCGATAACTGTTCCGACAACATTAACTATAATTATAACTATTATGATAACTATAACAACAATAACTAAAACTGTTATAATCACTATAACAAGACTATAGCTATTATGGTAACTATAACTATTACAACAATAATCATAACTATAACTGATATTATAGCTATAATGGTAACTATATTAAATGTACTATATTATATGTGTGCAGGATGAGGCGCGGGGTCAGCTGGGGTCACTGCAGAGGGAACTGGAGGAAGTGGCGGGAGAGAGAGACTCCGCCCACCAGCGCCTCGTTCAGCTACACAACACACTACAGGAGTGCCAAGAGGGTAACTTCCACTGTGTTTATATACAGCTAATTATACAACTTTTAAACTTTTTTTTTTTTGCTTTATAATTCGAGAGCGCCCTCAAAGGGAGGTTCTGTCAGGTTCGGCTGCTGTTGATGGTGTGTTTGTGTAGATAAGCGTGCGGTGGATGAGAAGCTGTCGGCGACTCAAGCTCTGCTGCAGCAGCAGGAAGAGTCCCTGCGGAGAGCAGACCGAGACCGCCGAGCGCTAATCGAGCGAATCAAAGAGCTGGAGAGACTTTCGCTGAACACCGAGACCGAGCGCAAGCATGTGGAGGTGCGTCTTATTTCATCTACACTAATGTCATCTAGCTCAGACTAGGTTTAATGCAGACGTGGCCCCCTGCAGGAGCAGTGCAGTAAGCTGCGTGCCGGCGAGGCGCGTCTGGAGGCGGAGCGTCGGCGGCTACGTGAGGCTCTGGAGGCGGCTGAGGGGCGGGGCACACGGGTGGAGCTGGGGAGGCGGAGTCTGGAGGGAGAGCTGCAGAGACTGAGACTGAGTCTGACTGAGAGAGAGATGGAGATCCAGACGACTCACGACCGGCACGACAGCGCCAGCAAACAGGTCCTGAGCACAAGCTGCCACAGAACCGGATTCCTCGCCCGCAGTGATTGGTCACACGCTTGTATGTGTTTCAGGTGGCAGAGGGCGAAGCTCGCCTCGTGTCTCTTCAGCGTGAGGTGGAGCGACTGATGGCGCTGCTGTCTAAAGCTCAGGATGGAGAGAGCGTTCAGAAAGAGCGAGCGCTTGCTCTCTCTCAGAGCCTGCAGGAAGCCAGCGCCGCCCACAGCGCCACCCAGGGGCGTCTCGCCGCGCTGCAGAAAACACTGGGACACACCGAGACCGAGCGCAGACAGCTACAGGTGAGGGGCGAGGTCGACGGGCTTTACCATAGCATAACTATAACTATTACCATAACTCTAATATAACTATTATGATAACTATATAGATAGCTATAACTGTTACAATAACTATTACGTTAACTATAACTATAAATGTTACGATAACTATTATGATAACTATAAATATTACAGTAACTATTATGATAACTGCTATAACTACAAATATTACGATAACTTTAATCATAATAACTATTATTTAACTATAAATATTCAGATAACAGTTGATGTTGTTCCTCTGCTGTGTGGTTCAGGAGCGTGTGGATGGACTCAGAGCGTCCGTGTCAGACGGGAAGCGTAATATCGCAGTGCTCACGGAGCGTGTGCAGACACTGCAGTCAGAACTGACCCAGAGTCAGCTGCGCAGATCTGAGCTGGAGACAGAGCTGCACAACACACAGGAGGTGAGTGTCATTTCAGTTCGCCATACATTTAGCTTCGAATGTGAATGCGGCAAACAGACTTAAAGCCGGTTCACGCAGAACGGTTTTTGCATTTAAAAATGTGAGCTGCAGAGCCGCAGTGGAAAAAAAATTAAATATGTGACTTTTTAAAAAAAATTAATATTGGACACATTTTAACTTGAATTTTATACTTTAAAAAATGTGAGTCAGATTCGTCCATTCTAGTGCGTTTACAGTGCAATGCAAGGCAGTGTAGTGGAATGCAAAAATACGTTCAATGTGAACATCCTTAAAATGCAACTGAACTGAGATCATATTAAATATGCATTGAGAACAGCTTCATGTATTTTATTGGTTTATTCAAGGGTTTTCTCATGAGATTGCGTTGAAAACAACAGTGTGAATGAAAAGAGGTCTGAGACCTGATAAATAAAGAGATCTGACTTCACATTCAATAGCATTGACAGTGTGAACGCAACATTCTTCTTTACTTGATTCACGTTGTTCTAGATTTGTTCTTTTAAAGATTCAGTCTTTCTCCGGTCTCACGCAGGCTCTGCGACTGAAGTCCGACAGTCTGACCGAAGCCCAGTGCAGTCTACAGTCTGCGCAGACAGACAGAGCGTCTGCAGAGGAGCGTCTGCGCAGCCTACAGAGAGCCGTGGCCCTACTGGAGACCGAGAAGAGAGATACAGAGAGACAGGCCGTCCGGCTGGAGAAGGACAAGGCCGCGCTGAGAAACACACTGGATAAGGTGAGACAGGCCAGCTGTCTGTCTGCACGCCGTGTTTAAATGCAGGATTGAATCCAGCGAGTTCACGGTCTGTTTTGCCTCGTCAGGTGGAGCGTCAGAAGCTGAAGACGGAGGAGAGCAGCATGCGTCTGTGTGCGGAGAAAGGCCGTCTGGATCGCTCGCTCAACACCGTCGAACAGGAGCTGCAGGACGCGCAGAGACAGATCGTGCTGCTGCAGGTACGGCGTTATCAGCTCACTCACATGCTCACTCTAATCATGAGCTGCATTAACAGTGTCATCCTATAATGTGTGTGCGATTGTTTTTCATCGCTGTAAGGAAGAGTTGTGCGGCGTCAAACAGAAGATTGCGTTGTGTCTGGTGAGTAAAGGCCTGTTCACACCAATGAACGATAACTATAACGATAACTATATTAGTGCCCACACCAATAACTATAACTATTACCATAACTCTAATATAACTATTATGATAACTATATAGATAGCTATAACTGTTACAATAACTATTACGTTAACTATAACTATAAATGTTACGATAACTATTATGATAACTATAAATATTACAGTAACTATTATGATAACTGCTATAACTACAAATATTACGATAACTTTAATCATAATAACTATTATTTAACTATAAATATTCAGATAACAGTTGATGTTGTTCCTCTGCTGTGTGGTTCAGGAGCGTGTGGATGGACTCAGAGCGTCCGTGTCAGACGGGAAGCGTAATATCGCAGTGCTCACGGAGCGTGTGCAGACACTGCAGTCAGAACTGACCCAGAGTCAGCTGCGCAGATCTGAGCTGGAGACAGAGCTGCACAACACACAGGAGGTGAGTGTCATTTCAGTTCGCCATACATTTAGCTTCGAATGTGAATGCGGCAAACAGACTTAAAGCCGGTTCACGCAGAACGGTTTTTGCATTTAAAAATGTGGAAAAAAAATTAAATATGTGACTTTTTAAAAAAAAAAAATATTGGACACATTTTAACTTGAATTTTATACTTTAAAAAATGTGAGTCAGATTCGTCCATTCTAGTGCGTTTACAGTGCAATGCAAGGCAGTGTAGTGGAATGCAAAAATACGTTCAATGTGAACATCCTTAAAATGCAACTGAACTGAGATCATATTAAATATGCATTGAGAACAGCTTCATGTATTTTATTGGTTTATTCAAGGGTTTTCTCATGAGATTGCGTTGAAAACAACAGTGTGAATGAAAAGAGGTCTGAGACCTGATAAATAAAGAGATCACACTTCACATTCAATAGCATTGACAGTGTGAACGCAACATTCTTCTTTACTTGATTCACGTTGTTCTAGATTTGTTCTTTTAAAGATTCAGTCTTTCTCCGGTCTCACGCAGGCTCTGCGACTGAAGTCCGACAGTCTGACCGAAGCCCAGTGCAGTCTACAGTCTGCGCAGACAGACAGAGCGTCTGCAGAGGAGCGTCTGCGCAGCCTACAGAGAGCCGTGGCCCTACTGGAGACCGAGAAGAGAGATACAGAGAGACAGGCCGTCCGGCTGGAGAAGGACAAGGCCGCGCTGAGAAACACACTGGATAAGGTGAGACAGGCCAGCTGTCTGTCTGCACGCCGTGTTTAAATGCAGGATTGAATCCAGCGAGTTCACGGTCTGTTTTGCCTCGTCAGGTGGAGCGTCAGAAGCTGAAGACGGAGGAGAGCAGCATGCGTCTGTGTGCGGAGAAAGGCCGTCTGGATCGCTCGCTCAACACCGTCGAACAGGAGCTGCAGGACGCGCAGAGACAGATCGTGCTGCTGCAGGTACGGCGTTATCAGCTCACTCACATGCTCACTCTAATCATGAGCTGCATTAACAGTGTCATCCTATAATGTGTGTGCGATTGTTTTTCATCGCTGTAAGGAAGAGTTGTGCGGCGTCAAACAGAAGATTGCGTTGTGTCTGGTGAGTAAAGGCCTGTTCACACCAATGAACGATAACTATAACGATAACTATATTAGTGCCCACACCAATGAACGATAACTATATTAGTGCCCACACCAATGAACGATAACTATATTAGTGCCCACACCAATGAACGATAACTATATTAGTGCCCACACCAATGAACGATAACTATATTAGTGCCCACACCAATGAACGATAACTATATTAGTGCCCACACCAATGAACGATAACTATATTAGTGCCCACACCAATGAACGATAACTATATTAGTGCCCACACCAATGAACGATAACTATATTAGTGCCCACACCAATGAACGATAACTATATTAGTGCCCACACCAATGAACGATAACTATATTAGTGCCCACACCAATGAACGATAACTATATTAGTGCCCACACCAATGAACGATAACTATATTAGTGCCCACACCAATGAACGATAACTATATTAGTGCCCACACCAATGAACGATAACTATATTAGTGCCCACACCAATGAACGATAACTATATTAGTGCCCACACCAATGAACGATAACTATATTAGTGCCCACACCAATGAACGATAACTATATTAGTGCCCACACCAATGAACGATAACTATATTAGTGCCCACACCAATGAACGATAACTATATTAGTGCCCACACCAATGAACGATAACTATATTAGTGCCCACACCAATGAACGATAACTATATTAGTGCCCACACCAATGAACGATAACTATATTAGTGCCCACACCAATGAACGATAACTATATTAGTGCCCACACCAATGAACGATAACTATATTAGTGCCCACACCAATGAACGATAACTATATTAGTGCCCACACCAATGAACGATAACTATATTAGTGCCCACACCAATGAACGATAACTATATTAGTGCCCACACCAATGAACGATAACTATATTAGTGCCCACACCAATGAACGATAACTATATTAGTGCCCACACCAATGAACGATAACTATATTAGTGCCCACACCAATGAACGATAACTATATTAGTGCCCACACCAATGAACGATAACTATATTAGTGCCCACACCAATGAACGATAACTATATTAGTGCCCACACCAATGAACGATAACTATATTAGTGCCCACACCAATGAACGATAACTATATTAGTGCCCACACCAATGAACGATAACTATATTAGTGCCCACACCAATGAACGATAACTATATTAGTGCCCACACCAATGAACGATAACTATATTAGTGCCCACACCAATGAACGATAACTATATTAGTGCCCACACCAATGAACGATAACTATATTAGTGCCCACACCAATGAACGATAACTATATTAGTGCCCACACCAATGAACGATAACTATATTAGTGCCCACACCAATGAACGATAACTATATTAGTGCCCACACCAATGAACGATAACTATATTAGTGCCCACACCAATGAACGATAACTATATTAGTGCCCACACCAATGAACGATAACTATATTAGTGCCCACACCAATGAACGATAACTATATTAGTGCCCACACCAATGAACGATAACTATATTAGTGCCCACACCAATGAACGATAACTATATTAGTGCCCACACCAATGAACGATAACTATATTAGTGCCCACACCAATGAACGATAACTATATTAGTGCCCACACCAATGAACGATAACTATATTAGTGCCCACACCAATGAACGATAACTATATTAGTGCCCACACCAATGAACGATAACTATATTAGTGCCCACACCAATGAACGATAACTATATTAGTGCCCACACCAATGAACGATAACTATATTAGTGCCCACACCAATGAACGATAACTATATTAGTGCCCACACCAATGAACGATAACTATATTAGTGCCCACACCAATGAACGATAACTATATTAGTGCCCACACCAATGAACGATAACTATATTAGTGCCCACACCAATGAACGATAACTATATTAGTGCCCACACCAATGAACGATAACTATATTAGTGCCCACACCAATGAACGATAACTATATTAGTGCCCACACCAATGAACGATAACTATATTAGTGCCCACACCAATGAACGATAACTATATTAGTGCCCACACCAATGAACGATAACTATATTAGTGCCCACACCAATGAACGATAACTATATTAGTGCCCACACCAATGAACGATAACTATATTAGTGCCCACACCAATGAACGATAACTATATTAGTGCCCACACCAATGAACGATAACTATATTAGTGCCCACACCAATGAACGATAACTATATTAGTGCCCACACCAATGAACGATAACTATATTAGTGCCCACACCAATGAACGATAACTATATTAGTGCCCACACCAATGAACGATAACTATATTAGTGCCCACACCAATGAACGATAACTATATTAGTGCCCACACCAATGAACGATAACTATATTAGTGCCCACACCAATGAACGATAACTATATTAGTGCCCACACCAATGAACGATAACTATATTAGTGCCCACACCAATGAACGATAACTATATTAGTGCCCACACCAATGAACGATAACTATATTAGTGCCCACACCAATGAACGATAACTATATTAGTGCCCACACCAATGAACGATAACTATATTAGTGCCCACACCAATGAACGATAACTATATTAGTGCCCACACCAATGAACGATAACTATATTAGTGCCCACACCAATGAACGATAACTATATTAGTGCCCACACCAATGAACGATAACTATATTAGTGCCCACACCAATGAACGATAACTATATTAGTGCCCACACCAATGAACGATAACTATATTAGTGCCCACACCAATGAACGATAACTATATTAGTGCCCACACCAATGAACGATAACTATATTAGTGCCCACACCAATTAACGATAACTATATTAACGCCCACACCAATTAACGATAACTATAACGATAACTATATTAAAGGGGGTCATATGATGCTTTTTTAAAGATCATTATTTTGTGTATTTGGTGTAACAGAATATGTTGACATGCTTTAATGTTCAAAAAACACATTATTTTTCAAATACTGTACATTATTGTAGGTCCTC